CCAGCCCGGGCCGGCGCGGCAGGGAGAACGCGGGAGCCAGGGCGACGCTCTGGGCTCTTCTTTCAAAGTTCAACCCGAGCCGCCGCATTTCCCCGCTGCCCCTTGGTCTCAGGAAATTGCACGAACTGTACACCCTGCCTCCTCTCCCGGAGCAGACTTTGGACCTGTCCTCAACGGCCCCGTGCGGATTTCCTGGGCCCATTTGAAATGACGTTCTCGTCTTCCTGATCCCTAGGATCCGTCGACATGAATCCCGTCGTCGTGGTCCACGGCGGCGGAGCCAGCAACATCTCCAAGGACCGCAAAGAGCGGGTGCGCCAGGGCATCATCCGAGCCGCCACCGTGGGTTACAACATCCTCAAGGAGGGAGGGAGCGCAGTTGACGCTGTGGAAGGAGCCGTGACCGTCCTGGAAGATGACCCCGAGTTCAACGCAGGTAAATCTTCACTGCAGCTAGTAAGGGATGCCTCATCAGGTTAAGTGTCTCCCCGCAAATAAACAGAACCTTTGTGAAGTGCCAGTGAATCTAATCAGCCTTGTGGTAGAACTTAAAATGCTGAATAGATTTAATTTTTCTCTTTTTCCCTGTTGACCAAGGCGCTTTAAGAATTTTTAAATCCATCTATTCACCCTATTTTCTTTCACCTGCTTCCTAGAATTCACATCCCAAGAGGCTTGCTTATCACATCTTTTTGTGGAGGGGTGGGGATAGACTACATACCATAAAGCGGACCCATTGTAAATTCTGGAAAATGTGTACACCTGTATAACCAACCCCACCGCAATCAATATTTAAAACATTTCCATCACCCATAAAAGTTCCTTCATGCTGCTTTTCAGTTAATCTTCCCGTATAATCCTCAGCGCCAGACATCCACTGATCTGCTTCTGTCACTCTAGATTAATTTGCATTTTCTGTACACGCAGTCATACAGAGCATTCTCTTGTGTTTTCCTTCTTTCAATTGATCCTTTTTTAGAGTCATAATCATAAATACTACGAGCGCCTACTATGTACCGAACAATAGTCTTAAGAAATTTGCGTGATTAACTCATTTAATCTGCACTATGGTCCTGTGAGTTAGGTATATTTATTATGCTCATAAGAAAACTAAGGGCACAAAAAAGATTAAGTAACTTGCTGGAGGACACTCATTTCTTCTTTATTTTAAAATGGAAAACCTAAGATCTAGGGATTAAAATACTTCTTGGAATTATACCACCCACCCAACAACTGTTAAGGAAAAGAATTTCAGGAAATTTTAAGCAATTAGTCATGAAATATTTACTGAGTGCCTTTGCTAGGCACTCTTTACCACTTACGCAAAATTTCACAAATCGGGCCTGACCACAGAATGAGGCATTACTGCATTTCTATGGTGTCGACATAAGAAACATCCAGACCTGTAGTGAATTTTTATAAGTTGATTTGAGCCAAACTGATGACAACTGCTGGGAAGCAAAGTCTCAACTGACTGAGAAAATGCTCCGAGAATGGCAGTTTTGCAACTTAAGTTATCCATTTGAATCAAAGGAGGAGACAGAAGGAGGGTTCCAGGAAATCCACTGGTGGTAAATTAAGGGGGCAAAGAAATCTCTGGAATGGGATAAAAAGTGAAAAAGCAAAGACACTTCTTTTACATTGGTGGGAACAGGGTAGATAAGAGTCAACATTTACAGCCCATGGAGATGGAGGGAGGGGCAAGACAACAATGAGGGGTTCTATGGTCTGCGCTCTGGTGCATGGGTTCTGCCCTGAGGGGTCTGGAAAAGGCAGTTACTCTGACATTTCAAAGATGCGTTAGATGCAAAAAGCCCACAGGCTCCTTAAGGTAGAGCAAGGAAGCTACAGGCCTAGGACGTGACTACCTGCCGGGACCTGCTCTTAGTTAGGAATTTTTATGATCAGACCATCCTCTGTGGTTACTTCAGTCTGAAGTTTGTAAGGCCGGTCATGCTGGCCTCTCATGAGCTTGTCAGGTTTCTATGTGGCCCTTTTTCTATCCACAATGGTTGTTTGTTGAGCCAGAATTTACTAACTGCTCTCCCTTGCCTGCAGGAGGAACAGGCCCCCGTTTCAGTAGGGGGACTTGTTCAACTATATGCCTGTTAGTCAGGACCCTCGTGGCTGACAAACCCCCACTTATTCACAAAGAACCTCCATTTGGAGCGGGCGGTTCTGGTCTCCCACCCCCTCGACACTAACGGGATCGATCAGTCCTCTGTGTGACCTGGGGAAGTATGAGGATCAAAGGTTGGGACTGGGCGGGAGGACATGCTGTCTACTGAGCTGTTTTCCTTTTGGTTTTTCGCAGCCGAGGTCAGAACAAGCAAACAGTATTTCTGGCAGCCTCTGCGGTGACTCTCTAGAATAATAATTTGGGAACTTGAGACTAAGAGCTGACTCAGGGTAGTTACTGAGTTAGCCGGCAATAATTAGCATTCATGGCCCAGCTTATCCGAGTAACTTATAAAAACATTGTCTTTATTTACATCGTATTTACATTTCAATCTGGATTTCACTTTATGTTTAAAGCTTGTTTTGATAATATCTAGTTTACTAAAAAGTTGTGCAATAAGTAGTTTAATTATTAGAACCCAACACTGTAAAAATTGAACTTTTATACAAATTCGTAGTTGAGTTCTACTTATACATATCTCATAAATCAAACTTCAGTATTCATATATTCTCATTAGTCATTGCCAGAGATAATCATGTAATGTAATGGCTAGGTGGAGAGCCAGAGGAGAGAAAGAGCTTTGGGGGGGATCGTTTTATAAACTATTTAAATGTCTAACCAATGTACTGTATACTTGAAACTAATAACAAAATAAATTTTTTTAAATTGAACTCTTAGAGTGATGGAAATATTCCTTAAAGACTTCAGTTGGCAACTAAATGATGACCCTTTCCTTTCACTGGAGTCAAGCAGTACTTATACAGAACTTTAACTTGTGAATTTATTCCCCCTACCATCCAATTTCATAAGCTGTCAAAGAGTCTTGGAGATAACAGGATATTTATGTACTCATCCTCCCTGAAGTACCAGATTGAGAACCCACTAGCCTAATACTATGTCAATTTAATGGGTTTTTTTAATACAATAAAATTCCCCCTTTTTTAATGTACAGTTCTATGAACGTGATAAACACAAAGAGTCATGTAACCACCACCACAGTCAAACTATGAAACAGTTCCATTACTCAGGAATTCGCCCATACTGACCTTTGAGGCCACACCTCCGTTCACCCCAGCTCCTGGCAACTTATGTGTTTTCTGTCCCAATAGTTCTTGCCTTCTCCAGAATGTCAGGAATGGAATCATACATATTTGTAGCCTTTTGAGTCTGGATTCTTTATCGAGCATAACGCAGTGGAGGGTCATTCACGTCCACACAGTATTAGTAGTGCATCCTTCTTTGTTGAGAAATATTCCAGCATGTGACTATACCACAGTTTGGGTCATTTGCCAACTGAAGGACATGTTCAATTTGGACATGTTCAAATCACCGTAAACATTTGCATACGAGTCTTTATGTGAGCATAAGTTTTTATTTCTCTTGCGACTGCTGGTCATATGGCAAGTGTATGTTAAACCTTATTTGAAACCGCCAGACTGTTTTCCAAAGTGGCTCCAATTTTCATTCCCAGCAGCAATGGATGAAAGTTCTGATTACTCTCTATCTTCACTAGTACTTGGTGATATTGTCAGTATTTTTTATTTTAATAATTCTAATAGGCGTACTGTGGAATCTCGTTCTAGTGTTAATTTGCATTTCCCTAATGGCAAAAGAGGGGTATTTTAACAGCTTTTCAAGTCTTTTGTCTATTTCTTTATTGTGGATTTTTTTCTTACTGAGTTTTAAGAGTTCTTTATATATTCTAGATGTAGGTCTTTTATCAGATATGTGTTTTGCTGACATTTTCTCCCACTCTGTGGCTTGTCTTTTCTTTCTCTTAACAATGTCTTTCAAAGAACAGATGCTCTTAACTCTGTAGAAGTCCAATTTACCAATTTTTTTTTAATGGATCATGCTTTCTGTATTATATCTTAAGAAATGTATGCCTAGCCCAGGGTCACAAACATTTTCTCTTATATTGTCTTTTAGAAATTTTATAGTTTTAGGTTTTATATTCAGATCTCTGATTCATTTGTAATACATTTTTGTATGTGACGCTAGGTATGTACCAGGGTTCAGTTTTCATGTAATTGTTCCCACACCAGTTGTGGAAAAGGCAATTCTTTCCTCGTTGTCTCGCCCTTTTACCTTTGTTGAAAATCAGTTGCCTTTATACGCACGGGTCTATTTCTGGACTCTGTTTTGTTCCTTTGATCTATATGTGTCTTCTTTTACCAATACCACACTGTTTTGATTACCATAGTTTTATATTCAGTCTTAGGTAGTAAGAATCTTCTAACTCTTTTTCTTTTTCCATGATTGGTTTGGCTATTCTAGTCCCTTTGCCTTTCCCACAAATTTGAGAGTCATCCTGTCAATTTCTCTCAAAAAAATTCTGTTAGAATTTTTATTAAGGTTGTAGCGAATCTATAGATCAGTTTAGAGAGAATTAAAATCTTAATGATACTGAGCTTTCCAGTTCAAAATCATAGTATATACTTCCATTTATTTAGGTCTTTGATTTTTTTCATCAGTGTTTTGTAGTTTTCAGCATACATACCTTATATTTTGTTAGATTTATACCTAATTATTTCATGTGTTTTGGTGCTATTGCAAAAACTGCTTTTTTAATATTTCGACTACCAATCGTTCATTGCTAGTGTATGAAAATGCAGGTGATTTTTTTCATATACTTATTTGCCATCTATATTTGTTACCATTGATCTTTATTGGGGTGTCTGTTAAGATCTTTGCGACTCATTTTTTAAACAAGCTGTATTCTTATTGTTGAGTTTTAAGAGTTCTTCGTGTATTTTGGGCAACGGTCCTTTATCGGATATGCCTTTTACAAGTACTTTGACCCAGTTTGTCGCTTGTCTTTTCATTGTCTTGACAGTGTCTTTCATAAGAAGTTTTCATTTTGATGAAATCCGCTCAACTTCTTCTTTCATGGTTCATGACTTCGGTGTTGTATCTAAAAAGCCAAACCCAAGGTTATCTAAATTTTCTCCCATGTTCTCGTCTAGGAATGTTATAGTTTTGCATTTTACATTTATGTTTGTGATCCATTTTAGGTTCATTTTTGTGAATGGTGTTAAGATTATATCTAGATTTGTTTTTGTTTTTGTCTTGCATCCGGATGCCCAGTGTTCCAGCACCGATCATTGGAAAGAATTATCTTTGTGCCATTTCATTGCCTTTCCTCCTGGGATTCTCCCCCCATTCCAGTGTCTGTGGGTTTCCCCACACCACCGAGCAATTCTCCGACACCCGCTGAGTGTCCAGCAATTCAACTCAGTTCTGACACTGTCTACACCCCTAATTTGGCGTTAATCCCATCCAGTATTTTCCATTTCAGACTTTTTTCCATCTCTAGAAGCTTTGTTTGAGTTCTTTTCATATTTTCCTCCACGTTCTAGAACATACGGAATGTAGCTAGAACAGCTTTTAACATCCTCGTCTACTAATCCTATCATTTGTGTCATTTCTGGATCTCTTACCATCGATCGATCTTTGTTTCTCCTCATTATGGGTCATATTTTCCTGTTTCTTTGTGCGCCTGGTCATTTCTTACCGGATACCAAACACTGTGAATTTTACCTTGTTAAGTTCTGGATATTTTCATAATCCTTTAAACATTCTTAAGTTTTGTTCTGACCCCATTTTTATGGATGAGGAAACGGTCACATAGCAGTTAAGACTCGCTGAATTCGTAGGCATTATTTCGGCAGGGAAAGTTGGAGAAAGGATTCTAGTGGTAAAGAGAACAAACAGCACATGCCAAAAACACAGAGTAACGAGAGCTTATGGTACAGTCAGGGAAATCTAATACTTCAGTAAAATGTAGTCACTGAAGGAGAGGAGAGGAAGCTGGAAAAGCGAGTCAGAGGCCTGGTCACAAAGGACTTCATCGGAGGCCAAGTCAGATTTTTGTTTTAAGAAACGTTCCTCTGGCAAACGTTCCTCTGGGGCGGAGGATGAGCTAAAGCAGGCCGCTTAGAGGGAACTCGGAGGCCCTTTCTAAATGCTTAATTCTTGCTTTCAACTCCTCGTTGGGTTCAGGTTGTGGATCTGTCTTGAACGTCAATGGTGAAGTCGAAATGGATGCCAGTATCATGAATGGAAAAGACCTGTCTTCGGGAGCTGTGTCTGCAGTCCGGTGCATCGCAAACCCCATCAAGCTTGCGCGGCTTGTTATGGAAAAGGTATACGTGACCGAAGCATCCTCTTACCTAAGGAGTCGTCCCCACTATACTTCAGTGACTCAAACGGGTCTGACTGTGGGGAAATCCTTGAGATCACTCTTCTCCTAAAATTATATGAAAGATCAGAAAGAATGTTAAATTGCTCAGGTGAGCCAGGATTCTCACTCCATCGATGATGTAGTTTGACTAGTAATCACTTGACCAGCGATAACTTTGTTTTCATGTTATCTACCTGTATTTTCTTCAGCCTCCTCTCAACACATGTAACATTACACATACACACCGAACAAACCGAGGGTTTAGACCGGTTCTTTTCAACATTCAGGAAAGCAAGCCGGTGAAATTTTCATTTTTGAGGCTTTGTACCCAGAGCGAAGTAATTATTTCCACACAGTTGGAACAGTTAAAAAGATTCTAACTTTTTCAAAAAACAAACTGTTTTTCCATCTCTTTCTGGTTCAAGACACCTCATTGCTTCCTGACTGACCAAGGTGCAGCAAAATTTGCTGCAGACATGGGGATTCCAGAAGTTCCCGAGAAGCAACTGATAACAGAGAGAAACATAAAACACCTAGAAAAAGAGAAGAATGAGAAAAGTGCTCAGAAAACAGACCAACAAAAGTAAGTATCATCGATGGCTCGCGTGCTGAGTTATTCAACTGCGAAAGCGCGACAAGTATCTGATTATCCACATTTCTTAGATGAGTTTCAGTTTTTGAACAGAATTATTCACATTAAGTAATGGAAAAACTGCTCTTTCGATTTTTTTTTTTTTTTTTTAGGCGAGGCAACCCTTGGTTGACCTCACAGATTGCAAGGGCCTTGTCAGCTTACAATACCTTATTTTTTATTTTTCATGCCTGCAGCACCTGGTCTTCCTAGGTGGTCTCCCATCCAAGTACTAACCAGGCCCAACCCTGCTTAGCTTCTGAGATCAGACGGGATCAGGCTTGTTCAGGGTGGCATGGCCGTAGACAAGTCTTTCGATTCTTAAATTTAACCTTGTTTATCACTCCTATGGAGAGTAAGCCAGACGAGGCGGAGAGAGTTCCCTCTCCAACGTGATTTCATAGAAGAATGCTTCGTGTTAATGTGTTAGCTCTCTGGTTAATGTGTTAGCTCTCTGGTTAATGTGTTAGCTCTCTGGTTAATGTGTTAGCTCTCCGGGCGATCAGTTTGTCCTCTCAAAGAGGATAAACAGGTCCTCTGTCACCTGATGCACCCTGTGAACTTATTCAGACACTCCTCCATTCCTCATATAAGGTTGAATTAACCATGTGTTCTGCGTTACAGTTTTCTGTGATACAGATTTCAAAATCTCAAATAAAAGCTCCCTTACTTACAGCAAAACTTAAAAAGTAAAATTTGACTATGGCCTAGGAATTTATAGTGGAATGTAATCTATTAACTTGGCATATTTTTTTAGATTTCTGCTATGTAACCAGAGGTGTATTTTAGTATCACCTAGGAAGCTTTTCAAAATACATATGTCCGGGCCGCTTCCTGAAAGAGTCTAATTTAATTTAATACATTCAGAGCGGAGAGGCCAGGCAGGTGTACCAGGACAAAGTTCCCCAGGTTAAGAATCCGTTTTTGCGAGATTGGCCGCCTGTCGGTAGCCACTAACTTTACCAGGGGTGCTGTCGTATCTATATGCTAGAGTCGCAGGGATGGGGTTACCTCAGTGGTTCATATGCATTTTAGTAGATGTTGCCACGTTGCGGTCCAAAAGTTGTGTAAGAACACACATCCCCGCCAGCCAGCACCGCTCTTAGACACAAGCCAGCGGGGCTTCTGCCCAGGGCCCTGCGCTTTGCAGGATCCTCATGTCACATGTACCCCCAACAGCTGGTCCGTCACAGACACATGGGGCTCCTCCGTCGCTCAGCAGTGGCACAGCAGGACCCACGACCCTCATTCTCCACTCTTTTGACACCATTTATCCCCCAGGGAAACGCTTCTGCCCGTCTCTTGCTCTCTGTCCTTGAAGCAAAGGCCACCAGATTCTGAAGGTGTGTGGACCATGCCGCTCCGACATCAGGAGGGACTCTGTCCATTTAGTTTACTTCTGTGTCTCATCACTTACAAAAGTGCCTCCAATGTAGTTCATTATAGAATCCAGATGGTGGTTTTGTGGCCGTTATTGTGCAATTTCTTCAACATTTTTACTTGACATTTGGTAACAAAATGCTAGGGGGGAAATGACCTTACTTCATCTTTACAGCCAGCCCCACGGAATAGGCACAGCGGGGTCTGGATGGGCAGCATCAGCGTCACCCAGGAGGTCTGGGTCCCACCCTGTACCTACCACCTCAGGATCTCCGGGACAGTCCCGGGGACCCGGGAACTCTCAGGCACACTCAGCTCGAGATGCACGCAGTTATTTTGTCCCCCATTTTATAGATGGGGAGAGTAAGACGATGAAACGTCCCTCAGTCAGTCACACAGCCAGAAAATGGCGTTGCCGGGACGGCACGTGCCTTTAAAGCCGAGGCGTAAAGTGGCGTCGAGCAGCGTGACTGACACGGAGAGTAAAAGCAAACAGGACCCAGCAATGTCACGTCCCGTACCATGTGGCAATTTACAGGGTATCGTGCCGCACTGTCACTTGGTCGGGAATGTTTCCCATCTCCAGCCTGTCACTTTTTTCCATTTATTTTTGGCAGAAACTTGGGAACTGTGGGCGCCGTCGCCTTGGACTCCGAAGGAAACGTGGCTTACGCGACCTCGACGGGGGGCATCGTGAATAAGATGGCCGGCCGAGTCGGGGACACGCCGTGTATAGGTAGCCTCGGCCGTGACCGCGGCCCCCGCTGTCCTTCCCCCGCCGTCAGGTTCTCCATCTCTGTTCTCTACCCCTCTCTTCTTCCTTCCTCTTTTTGGTGGCAGTTTCAGAATTTCTGGGAGCGGCAGTTGGCCTGGAAGGACATCTCTGGGATACTGCTTTGAGAGGGCGTTTGGACCTCGTAGGCACCCTGCTTTTCCTACGTTGCCTGTCTCGGGGAGAGAGGTGGAGATAGGGGACGCTAAAGTTGTCCCCAAGCTACCCGCAGTGCCTCTTTCTTCTCTCTAGCCCCAACTGCAGGATCTGCAGACTTTCTCCCAAAGGCTTAAGCACACAAAACCTCTCCCCAGGCATGGATGCAGAGTCATGAACTAAGAAAGCCGAGAATTTGAGTTTTCAGTTATTAGATTTGAGGGGCATAAAAGTGCCACACTGCCACTATAGAAATATGACAAGTTAAAATGCTGTCTACAGTAAGCTTGAGGCACACTGATTCTTGGGAGTGGGTGAGCCGTGGAGTCGGGTGTGGTTCAGTCTGTGCAGACTGGGTAGATTAGGGACAAAGGAGTGGCTGCTAATCCAATCCTCGTCTACATTTCGGCACTCTTTGGCGATTAATCTTTACATAGCATTAGACTTGTGATCTGTGTTCGAGTTTCTTGGCGATTGCCCAGTTAGAACCAGTCTCCCCCTTTGAGCAGGATCTGGAGGTTATGCTGACAATGACATTGGAGCCATTTCCACGACGGGGCACGGGGAAAGCATCCTGAAGGTGAATCTGGCCAGACTCACGCTCTTCCACAGAGAACAAGGTAGGTGAGACGAGTTCATACTACCTGGAGACAGGTACGCGGAAGCTGTCGGTAAACAGGTGGAGAAGTGTCTGAAACCCTTTCTCGTTTGCCGTAGATGTTGGCAATAGTTATTTTGACTCTTCCCCGCCTTCCGTTAGGATCTAGAATAAGAGAGCGTTTAGAAGACCGTTTGTCGCATTTCAGTAGGGAGACTTTGAGCATGGCTATGGGAGAAAAGGCAGCTCCGCTTAGGCTGGTGCCAGGAGGGCCTTGGGTGGCGGGGGTCCCTCTGTGAAGCACTCAAACAGACATCATTTACCAAGCATCTTTGTTTACCTCGCTTTGGTTTTCCGTAGTGCAGACGATTTTTCCATCGATTCCTTTCTTGTTCTCTTGTTTCTTGCGTTCAGGAAAGACGCTGGAAGAGGCCGCTGACTCGTCGCTGGGTTACATGAAGTCGAAGCTCAAAGGTTTAGGTGGCGTCATCCTGATCAACACAGCAGGAGACTGGGCAGTAAAGTGGACCTCGGCGTCCATGCCCTGGGCCGCCGCCAAGGACGGCAAGCTGCACTCCGGCATTGACCTTGACGAAACCAGTATTGCTGACCTGCCCTAAGCCCCTGGGAGATCGTGTGCTAGGTGCTAGCGTGGAGGTAAAGTGCAGCTTCCTGACGTGGAGACTTAGCTTAACCAATTAGATCTAGAAATGGAAAAAGCCTACAGTCTGTCACTCGTTTCGTTGCCTTGATCAATAAGCACCCGAATGTGTGGCGAGGGGCGGATTCCACAGTGACAGAGAAATCACAGCTGGGGGCCGCCGGGCTTGCTGGCGCCTACGACTCAGGTCGTTCAACGAACCTGCGTTGTGACGACTGAGGTGCCCGTTGCTGGGCTGACCCAAGCCTCATCTCTCCCTGCCCTTTGTTTCCCAAAAGGCCGGGGTCTGAGCTCCCGCAGATTGTCCTGAGTTTCCGGTCAGTGGACTGACCGCATCCTCCCAGACCTCGTTGCACAGATACCTCCACTTTAAGAATTCTTTCACTTTGTTCACAAAACAAAGAAACCACAACAACCCTCCCTCCCCACCCCATCACCCAGAAATCCCCAAGCAACCAACCAACGAAAACCCAGCTGGTCTCCGTCTCCCTCGTTTCCTTCTAGAGAGTCGCTCTCCTAAATAAATACCTTAAGCTCGATGACTGACTCCCATCGCCCTTTTTCTGGCACAATCCCATCCTCGGATGGCCCGAGTCTCAGCCTTGCGCGACCACACGGCTCAGGCGGGCTGGAGGCCATACCCCATAGCGGTCCAAGGGTGGTACCGGACCTTCGAAACGGCCCCCACGCCAGATCGGCCACAGCCGTGGTCCAGGGGTCATCGACGTGCGTGTGCCTCCGGTGAGAGCGCAGCCCCCCTCCGCCGCGGCCCCCTCCACCCGGGCCCCCC